ATGTAATAGATATACAGTTAACATAATAAAAAGTATCTAGAGAAGCGATCTCACCTTGAAAAAAAAAAAAAAAAAAAAAAAAAAAAACTTCATTTAAACAACTAAACAATTTTATTTAACAAATACAGGAATAGGGGTTCACTACTCTTTGTGGCTCTAATATACATAACTGAATTCTCAACTACAAAGACATAAATTTATCAAAATAGCAGGTAAAAAGGACACAACTAATACTCTGCCTGCCCACAAATAAAGAGTAACCCAAACAACAATATACCATTCAAAATAGTTTCTATTGAGGAAAACTATCAAATATTCTCATAGCTACAAAAAGAATCGGTATACATGTTTATGCTAACATAAGCGAAATTTCTTTATTATGATTATTGCACTGCTATATGTAGCTGCAGAGCCACATTCAAACTAGTTTTTGCATTGCCATCTGTGGCATAGAGCTAATACAAATTTGGTTCTTGCACTGCTTATGTAGCTGTGAAGCCTGGCATAACAATAGTTCTACTTGCTTGACTTCGGGTAGGCAAAAGTGAGTAATAGAGCTAGCCTTCACAAGACGAGCGATAGCAAAGAAAAAGATAAACTTCTTTACCAAAACAATCAGCCTTAAATATCTCATTTGCTTTACCCAATAATAAGCCATAACAATGTGAATTTTTAAAAATTATATGCTAATTCAAAATTATCTGTAATATGACCAGTTATAAAGTCAAATGATTTCCTAATAATAATCGCTCTGTCACTTTTTTGACAGGCTTTTCAATATGTATTAAAAGTAAAGTAATTATTTAACATGTCTATTTAATATAAAATAAAGTATAACATGAAAGTAAGATGAATTCAAAAGTATATACTAATTAAAAATATTATAATTTTTAATGTGTTAGTTTCAATGCAAAATATCTTGTACAAATAAGCAAAATGCACTTAAAAGTTTTATCATATACATGTAAATTTTAACTTTTATTATTCAATTATTTGTAAAAATTATGATAAAATAAAGTAAAATATTATACATGTTAAATAATATATATGTAAAAATAATATATTTAATACTATATGTATAATAAAATATTTTACAGAAATATTATTAGTAGTATTAAACGTGAAATATGTATTAAAAATATCATGATAATTAAACATATTAGTAATATTAAAATAACTTATGATTTAAAAAATAAAAATAATTCTTAAAAATTCAGGTAAATATATTAATATATATAGGATTATACACTGTAATTTAAGTAACATATTTTTAGTTTATTTTGGAAACGTTTTAATTATAGAATTGATTATTTTTTAAAAGAAGTTATTTATATAACAATAAGTTTGTATTAGGTATTAAAGGTAGCTAAAATTATTTATTTTTACTTAATAGTTCTTAATAATAAAAATTTATTTTAATTCTATGCTTCTTCCAACTCTCTTTACAAGAAATTTAATTATTATGTTTAGTTATATATATATATTTAGAATGGAGATTTGCTTATCTTCTATTACCTTACAATATTAATTGATATTTGATATATAATTTATTGAAAATTTAGGTATTATAATATTAAACAGGTGATATAATTTATTATTTATATATTAATTGCTTTAAAATATTATTTAAGTTAATCTGATGCTTTTTGAATAAGATTAGAATATTGCAGGCTAAATTATTTGGTACTTATAAACAAAAATAAACTATATTTAATATATTTGATCATTGAGTTTAATGTTATTTATAAATTTTTATTACAGTATAATAAATTTTGTATCTAAGTTATTCATATTTGTTAAAAATTTACAAAATTTAATTCAAATAATTGAAATTATTTTTTTTTCTTGAACTTATACTCATACTTTCTTTTTTAGTTTTTCTTTGCCTTTTCTTTTTCTTCTCTTGCTCTTCTTCAATTAATTCATTATCATTATCTTGCTTATCAATGTTATATTCTTGTCTTTTCTCATTTATATTTTCAACCCAACCCTCTTTAACATTTTTAGCTGTTGTTAAATTAAGAGAATCTAGTACTAAATCAGATAATTTTTTTTTCTTTTTCTATCTGAAGTAGCTCTAGTATTAGCAGAAATTGTTTTTTGTAAGTTCATAGCAGAAGTAGATATTGTATTACTACTAAAGAGAGCATATACTAATCTCTGATGCTTTTTCAGGGTTTGTGAAGTAGTGGATTTAAATTCTTCAGTAATTGAACTGAGATCTGAAAGAGAGCTTGTAGCAGTTGATGATAAAGTTTTAAAGGTATTAAGATTTATATCAGATGATGATAAATAATCTATATCAGTAGCTTCCAATGCAATAATGTTAGGGTTTTCAAATTTGATGAAACCAAACACCATAAACGATCGATTAATTTTAATACGATCACGTAAGTGATTAAATCTAATATATTGAGCAGGATAAAAGATTATTATATTCATAAGAACGTCATGAGTTGTAAAAGTATTATATATGTGACATTAAGCACCAAAATAAATTTTATCATTTTGAATTTTTGGATTATTTTTAACTTTCATAGTGGACATGAAATGCGGAACAGATAAAAAAATTTCATTTGCTTTAAATCCATTATTAGAAACAATCATGCTTGTATGAGCAACTGTAATATATTCATTTTTCTTCTTAATTATAAATTTACCAGAAAAAAATAAGATATCACCAGGTGAGAAGTCTAGGTGAGGTTTATTGTATGGATAAAAATATTTCCATTTAATAAATTAGAAAACATTTTTATCAGACTGATACTTTGCTAGGCCTTGTATATAAGAGCTTCTTTTCTTCTTTGAAACAATTACAATGATAAGAGAAGCATGTAAAGGCATTTTGTAAAGAGATAAAGTAATTTTAAATTTACAATATGGTTAAAAAGAGAAATCGAGATACTTTTTTTTATGATCTCATGAACTTTAAATATTTTCTTGTTAACTTATTTATTATCAAAAGTAATAATACATGTTATTATTACAACATACTTACGTACCATAAATTGTGTTACTAATTGATTTAATATATAAAAAATCAATCTACAGAATAGTGCTACAATAAATAATTTATGTTTGAAATTCTTATTTCATTCATTTAATTTTAGTCACTACAATAAAATAAATAAACATTGAACACAGTTAAAACAAGCATGGCAGATATTCGATTTGATTGGCTTGAAGATCACTGAGTTACACAACATAAATTAAAATTTTTAAAGTAATCCTTACTATAAAAAACCACATTGTCAATTGGCAACTCATAGTTTTACACAATAAAAGTTTTTTTAAAACAGTTTAAAGTATTTTTTACCTCTTCCTACATCTCTAGTGAAAAAGATCAGTATAGATCAGTATCCTGAAAGGCTTCACTTAGAGAGCAAATTTAGACAAATTTAGGCAACAAATGAGATAATAAACTTTCAAATTTGAAAAAAATTTAAGTATTATTGGCTAATTTTAGTAAAGTTTTTCCAGAAAAAGTGACACCGCCAGACTGAATAAACTTACAAAACCTTGGCTGCTTTAATACTACTAAGGTAAGATTAACATAACTATGATAGTACAATTATAGAAGGTAATCGACTAAGCCTAAATTTTGAAGATCATTTGTCTCTAGCAACCCCAACGCCATTCACAAAGAAGTGAAAGTAGAAGATGAGAATGGTGGTGAAAAAGTTAAAGAACATGAGATTGAAGTTGGAGTTTTAGAGTATTTTTGGGACCAGTGATTAGACGTTAACCTGTAATACTTTCTAATTTACTAAACCAAAGCCTAGAAAATTTATGGCAAGAAATAGAAAAACTGAAACAGCAAGTGTAATTGTCGGCCAATAGTGGCCAGATATATATTATACAAAACACCTCTTTAAATTAGTCAAACTACGTAGAAGGCATTCTCGAAGGCAAATTAAATCCTGATAATACTCTGCCTACTTCTAATGTAGATCCTAATTCAAATACTCCTAATCAGCCTCCTTCTAATACCCCAAGAGGTCCTAACTCCCAACCAAATAACCCAGATAAAATAGAAAAAGAAGCAAGAAAAATTCATATTTTTCATCTCTGAGCTAAAATTATAGGTAATTTATGTGCTTTAGGTGAATATTAGCGATATAGAATTGGTGTTGATATTAATTATGGGTAATTTATGTGCTTTAGGTGAATGTTATCGATATGGAATTGGTGTTGATAATAATTATGGGTAATTTATGTGCTTTAGATGAATGTTATCAATATGGAATTGGTATTAATAATGATTATAAGTAATTTATATGCTTTAGGTGAATGTTATCGATATGGAATTGGTGTTGATAATTGTAACTATGAAACATGCATTTGCATATTTTTTTCAAATCCGC